TTTTCAGTCAAACGTTCAGATATCAGAACTGAAGGCAGACACAGGAGGTGTAGAGAAGCCAATTACCATTTAGCAATGAAGATCCACAGAAACCATGGCAGAATGGTTTGCACAGCATTTTGCTATGATGTTGACAGCTTGCTTTCCATCAACATTCACAAAAAAGCTTTTGGGATGTGAGTGCCAAGAACTTACTGCTTTTAGACAGGAAATTTTGCTTCTGTTTACTTCACATGTACCACAAACTTACACAGCAAGATGTTTTTACGGATACAATTGTGTTGGCAAATGAATTTGTCCAGCAGCAAGAAGTACAAAATAAGGAAACAGAAATTACCATGTATTATGAATCTAGATATTATGATAGGAGCAGGCTCTTTCTAGAAAGTACTATGAAGAATTACAGGCAGAGTGAGAAATTAAGAGAAAGAATGAGAAGATACTTTTTTAAGGGAAAAAAATATAGTAGCACTGAAGTATGAGTAGAGTGATAAAAATTATGCGCATTAGTTTAAGTTCCATGCATTTCTCTATCTTCTCTAATTATTTTCAATTCTGTGAAACACACTACACTACGATTGGGTCTTGCAATTTTATTTTCAGGTTCATAACTGCATAAAAAAAAAAAAGCTCTCATTTGCTGAACTTATTATTTTCAGGTTCATAACTGCATAAAAAAAAAAAAAGCTCTCATTTGCTGAACTTGATTAGAAGCACAAACTCCTGAAAGCTAATATAATGTTCAAAAACCTTTGGGATATCACACGACATCAAAAATATACTGGAATTTATGCAATGATACAGCATAAGAGTGAATGACCATCACCAGAAGACAGATAGCTATTCTTATAAGGTTCATAGCAAGTTCCCAGAGAACACTTTGCCAAGAGAAACTTCCTAGGAAAATAATCACAGAAAAAGACCTACCTTGTTTTCAAAGGAACATGCTTTGTTAAACAGCACCTTGCAGTTCTGTTCATCTTGGTGCAACAATCATGCAACCAGGTGATTTTCGCAGAGCTATTTTTTCCACTGCTAAATCACACAAATGTCACAAAGTGAAGGACCGTACACAAGATGAAAACTGGATGCCACAATAAACAGACTTTCATTCAGTAGTGCCGAAACATGAGCCAAGATCCAAGCTCAAGTTCAGCTCTCCAACTTTGTCTTGACTACTTCCTACTATTATATGTGAGACTCTTTCACACAGCTTCTGAAGTAAGTGTCTGAGCTCCTGTGGGGTTTGTTCAAGGAACTGAAGTAATGCTGTAAACTCTCCTAAACCCTGTCAAACAAAAGATAAGGCAGAAACCTTTCCTTTTCTCAGAGTGACATTATTCAGGGACAGGAAGCAAAAATTAGAATTTTTTTTTAGGGGAAAAGATAGTCAACATACAGTGGTTAGCATTATAGAGCAAAGCTTATCTATGATGATGATGCTCGAAATTCTCTTATTTCTAAAGAATGAAATATATAATAAGGCATAGTTGTACAAAACTGAAATTAGTAGAAACCTTAAAAATTAGTTGTGCCCACTATGGATGTCATACAAAATGAAAGAAACCAACAGCAACTCATTGAAAAAAACTGCTGGTTTTGTAAAAATCACTTAATTTAATTACATTCGTTCTACTCTAATAATCCATCTTTGTAAGACTACTGCAGCTTCAGATGGTCTTTTAATTAATAACTCAGCCAAAATACTTTTCCAGCCTTGCACAATTAAATACATGAAATGATGCTTCTGGAAAGCTGACGGTCTTAAAACAAAGATGTTCAGTATCAGTTTCTCACATGAGAAAACATCTTCTGGCAACACGGCTCTTTCAGCAAAGCCTGTTATTCCTACATAGGTTTAATAACTTCTTTGGATGTTTTGTGAATTTGATTTTTGGTGGGAGCATTAGCTTTTTGGATTAATGAATACTGAAGAAGAACGAGCAAGCATTTCATCAAATTTAATGCTCACTGTAAGTCTGAATACCAAACCGTTGGTCCTACGTTTTATTTCATTAAAGCAATGTATCATTTCTGCTGTGATAACAGAAGCAGTCGGCACTTCTGGAGATCAAAGCAAATTACAAACAAGCCTGCCGAGCTGAACATATGTAATTCTATATGTAATGCTGCACACAGTCCACATCCTGACTTAGACTTGCAACTAGACAAAGATCATCTTTGTGTATTTATAAGGCCTGTGCTTAGTACGGTGGTGTGCAGATCCTTGAGTCCTTACTTTAACACTAAAACACTACAACCAATAAATTTTTCTTACACGATTGGTGTTCTGGTATACAAGAGGTCAAAATGGCAAATAAGCCATTCCCTCTTAAACCACATGAGGAGGTCAGCGGTAAGAATTTCAGAGTAACTGCAGATACATCCAGCTTTAAACACCGGGAAAAGTTTGAGGAATTCAATCTGTCAACACTAAACCAGTTATACATAATACTTGACAGCAGTGTTATGAGAAATCACTCAAACATGAAATATAGGCTAAATTTTTACACCTGATAATACTCCCAGGCGAACATCTCAGCATGTCTCCAATACAGGGCTCAAGTTTACTGTTACTTTCCTTCAACAAAGCATACTTCTTCATTTGTCCTTACAATAACAAAGGTGAAAAATAGAGTATCACGTGGAGAATCAGATTCAAGTAGGTATTTTGTAGAGCTACACAATATATGACTGTTTGTGTCTCTGTAGGTTAAAGATCAAACAAAAGGCACTTTGAGTACTTCACAATTATTCGTTAAGTTTTAGCTCCAACTCTGTAAAAAGAAAACCTACCTATTGTCCCTACTAGTGAACTAAATCAGCTATCAGGAAAAAATTAACTAATTAATTCTGTCAGAATGATCAAGTTACACTTTTTAGGCAGAAGCAATATCTAGGAGTTCAAAAGCATGAATCCCATGCAAGGCAGAAAAGGTACTGAAGCTCTCGCAGTATTTCTCACGCGTACTGGAGGAAATCACACTCACTGGGGTGAAATAAATGTAAAGAAGTCACTATATACTATGTCAAGCCAACCAAAGCTAAGATAATAAAGAAAAATTGGCAATAAATAAAGGAATGTCCCTCATATGTGTTCAACTAACTAGGAGGTATAACTGCTTCTGGACTATAGTATCAATATTCTTATTTTTTTTCAGACACACAGACAGGGTACAGGTAAGAGAAAAGAAAAAGATACACAAACACACTCCTGATGTCTGTACTTTAAAATAATACACCATAAATATGCGTAACAGACTAGAACACTTGATCATTTAAATTCACATGTAATCCTTAACACAGCCACTTACTCACCACTCAGTAAAAATGGCAACAAAAGTCAGCAGGTATGGAACTAGACACCTTCGAAAGCACGGGGACATTTGGATGGCTTGCTTTGTTTAGAGCAATTTATTCACAGAACAGTAGATAAAAACACCCATTGGTAATGCTGAAGAAGCCAGAAGCACCAGCGAATTTTTTTAATAGCCTAATTATTTATTAGGAAGAATATTTAGAAAAGTGATTACTAAAGGTAAGTAAAGGACACAAGTCCAGACACAAAAAAAGTCACTTTGCAACACAAAGAAGATCTGCTGTATCATTAATAGCCTGAAAACTGCTTTTTTGGTAATGCTTTGAAGATATACATCTTGCAAGAAAGACTTATCTCAAGGAATGAGAAAAATACACACACACATGATGACTTTTTCTATGTCACTCCTACTACAACCACCTTACCTTTAGGATTTTACATATGAATAAGAAAAAAACCCAATGTAATTCAATATCATCCTCTTAAAACAGTCATAACAAAAACTGAGTCTTTCCTGAAAGGGAGCCAAGGAAAAGAAAACTGTACTACTGGTATCTTTTGCAGCTGTTTATATAATATATTCCTTTCAAATAGTACTGCGTAGGAATAAAACTAGACAGGTTTCAGAGGCAAAAGAAAGGCACACTATAAAACTTTAGAGAAAGGGTGGTGGAGATCATAAATTAAATCCTAAAACTAGGCAGTATTCATGCAGAAATATGCCTGTCAATCTACAGGTTGAAGGACCCAGACTCAAAGGCTATGTAATTACATTATAGAACTAATTTTAAAATGAACGTAACATGGTTTCTCATACTCTGAAACTTTTTAATGTGGTTTATATAAAGGAATGTTAACCTCAGCTAGCAAAAGTAATACATTCTGAATCTTGCACAACTAAACTACGATGCCAGAAAGGAACCACACAGATACATATCTCATTAGTCTAAATCAAAGATGGCCACCTTACACATGCTATGGGGCCCTTTTATTCCCAGCCACATCTCAAGGTAAAATCAATACAGCCATATTTCTATGTGGCTGATCCTGTTGGACCCAACACCCGTTCATACCCCTATCTTCTTCCCCAACAGCAGGCCCAGGACCATGCCACCCCTGGAGGTGACCTCCTGAGCACCCAGCACTCCTCAGAGCCCATGGGCTGTCAGCACATCCTCTGTGGTCTTCCTTGCTTATAACAGATTATGGCCAACTTTTACTCTGCCTTTAAAGTCAACATGAAACAGTTCCCAAGGTAGTCCCACAATGAATGTTACCTGAAGACTGTGCTATTCTGGGGAAGAGAAAAATGAGACAAGACATACAAGTACATTCTTCTTTCTCTCTGAAGAGCTATCTTTTTGTGGTGACAGCTTCTAACACATACATTCCAGTCTTTCTGAAGCTAGCACCACAACTGGAAGATGATGTATAACCAAGAAGATATTCTTCCTCTAAAAATATACACTGCCTCTTGAATACGGCCCACTTCCAGAAAAAGGACTGGAAGGTCCTAAGGTGATGACTCCAAGAGTTGAGTTCAGATTTCAGAGGGACTAAGTTTAGTAGGCTAGGAGAGTTCAAATTACAAAAATAATTGCAATCTAAATCACACAGTCATAAAATCAAGATGCAAAAAGCAGCACCGAAAGATTTTTTTTTCTCCATTTGACATACTCACCAAACCTGCAATGGGGGTCGGTAGTCTATTGATCTTTTTTACCAGTCCCGGCTTTATTGCATTCAGCAACCTGTTACGAGAAAGGAGTGTTTATGAGCGGTAAATCACAAAATCACAACAATATTTTTTTTATACCATAAATGTATCTAGATCACATCAGTATTCACAGGCTGTGGGTGAATTTTGTCATATCAGTCTGCCTCCATGGGCTAGAGGCAGGTCATGCCTAGAAGGGCCTGAGAGCTGAAATCCAGAGGGCAGCTGGGTATCGCTGTAGCTTGGGAAGAACAGTCTGGCAGTTTCTGCACTGCAGGAAAGTAAGAAAGGACGTACACTTTACAGGTGGCATGTCTATTTTTCTGCATCTGTACTCAAAATTAAATGCCATCCTTGCATATGCTGTGGACAACAGAGGTCCCCATAAAAAGTGTGAGAAGACAAATAAAAAGGGAGTCCAAAAAACCCCATCTCATCTTGAAAACATCATTAGGCCAGTGATATCACAGTTGAACACTGTTCTGTGTCCAAAGTTTAGCAAACCCCCAAACAAAGTTCCCCACCACCCAAGAACACACTATAAGAAGAGCTGACATGGCTCATTGTTAGAATATTCCAAAAAACAATCAAGCTTCTAAGAGTGGGGAATTTTAATTATAAAATCCTGTTGCAAAAACTCTTATGCCTTTTATCCAAAGGAATAAAATTCAACCAGTCCCATCATTGGGAAGAAAATCATAAGGTCAAGACACTCCCTTCAAATTCAAGATCCCTGAAGAGAAACAAAGACATCTATGCTAATGTAAAACACTCTAAAAATTAGAATACCCACTATGGAAGAGAGGAATCTCACTTTGTCCTGACACTGTCTCCATTCAAGAACCAACTCTTCTGGTAGTCTACTGTGCTGGTAAAATTAGTCAGATATCTCAAATCTTAATTATTAATAAGATGTTTATCCTAACTAAAAGAAGATTCCTTTCAACTAAAAACTAACAGTCTGTGATTATTTCCAACTCCCCACTTCTGAGCTAAGATAACACAGGGTGTGCCTCTCCTACAGGCTCCACCAAGAGCCATCTCTTCATAGTGTCACGTTCTTTACTGTTCCATTCCTTCTTAGGACTGTGGCAGTCAGCAAGCTCATTAAGGAGCCCATCCCTCCCTGGGGTGGATACCTGGCTTTGTTAACATTGAAATGATTGTTTTTCCCCACCTCTTTCTTTTCCCCTGAAACAGTACAGAGGTTGGGTCTCTGCAATCACTTGGAGAGAACAGGGGAGCAGAGGAGGAGATGCTATTCTAAATGTTCTCTGTGATCATAGTTAATAAAGCTTCTGTCTGACCTGTCCTAAATTGTACTTTTGTTACTACACACTTGGAGGCCCCACATCTTCAACACCACCATAATCAGGAGTGGCAACAAACCCTATGTCAATGACATTTTTGGATCCCTGCTCACGGCAGGGGGGTTGGAACCAGATGATCTTTAAGGTCCCTTCCAACCCTTACCATTCCACGATTCTATGCATCTATGATCTTCTTGATCTTCTTGCAGTTAAAAACGCTGTAACCCAAGCTCATGCAAATTGCTGTGCTATTCCTGCCTTCTGTTGAAGGTAGAATCTAGCACTATTATGCTCTAAAAACATGACGAAAGATCTAAAATTATGAAAAAAGATCTAAAAATGACAAAAGAATATACTTCTCTATACAAACAATTCACTTTCCCCCCTCCAGATGCACAGAATGACAAGAAAAGAACCACACATCTCACTTCCTGTAATCATCATTTTATTTCACAGGTGACAAACAAGCATTACTTCTTTCTCCCCCAAAAGACACAAACCTTTCAGAGCTGCAACCCTATAAACTCTTATTTTCCATTTAGCTGCTGCAACCGACAGCTTAAGTTTTTGGTTTTTTTGGCGTTGTGTTTTTTTTTGTCAGAGCACTTCTTTCCAAACAGTCTACCTCTGTTGTGATTTCCATCTTCAATCTACCATTTTGTCTCAGGAAAAAAGGATATATTAGCTAAAGCATCCCATTTTCTTTGTTACTCGAACATGGATACATTAGGTATCACAACCAATACTGCAGGTGTAGATCAAAAGCCATAGACAGTAACAGAAAGTAAAACAAAGAGGTCTTAATGGAAACCTCAAATGCCAAAGCCCATTCTAAATAACTCTTCAAAATGGCTTGTACAGGCTTCCCTGTGAAATACAGGAGAAGGATAAAATGAGCAGAAGGAAAGGAGCAGGGAATAAACAACATTTTAGATCACTGTTTGGAGTCTGAAGAGAGAGGAAATGGGATGAGGCAAGGTGGAAAAGCCTGAGGAAGCAAGGTCTCTATTATTAAAATGTTTACCTCCTGTTGGAAACATCTCCAAACAGGCTCACTGCAGAACGTGCCAAAGGGAGATTTCTTCCAGAGCAGACTGGCTGCTTCTAAATTATTGCCTCATCTAGAGCAACAGTGCAGATGCCAAAATATCGAATGGCTTGGGCTTGCTCGGCCACCAACCTGACTGAAAAGCCGCGCTGTTCATGCACAGTGTCTCAATGGTCACCTTCACTCACACTGCTACTATCTGTTCCTGCTTCTTGAAAAAGCCACTCAATACACCTCTTCCTACATCAGTCAATACACACAAACTAAGTTTTCTGTGCCAATTTAGACTCCTATAGAGCACCTGCCCTGATATGTAAAGTTTTATCAGCTCTGGCAGGTTTCTGCTGAAATACAGGGCAAACAAAAACCCTCACCATTTTGTACCAGGGACCTGACGCAAGGCCCTTGGCCGTGGCCCAGGGGAAAGAGCCTGCAGCGGAGAAAAACACTTCTGAACTCATGTCTTCCCCTACAACTGCAGTCCCACGCTTCCTCACCCTGCTGACCACAACCAAAGGACTTGGCCTCTTGTCCTCAGCCATGTCTCAGGTTAAAGAGTTTGCAGGGAAGAAAACTAGGAGTGCACACCTTCCTCTGGCAGCCCCGCTACATCTGCAGCTCTAGCCTTTCTCCCTCCCACAATTCTAATCCTAACGCCAACCCTAACCCTTGGCTCATTCTGAGGTGAAGACACTCAGACATGACCCCAGTGACCAAGTTCAGAGGAGAAAACATTTGCAGCCTAAACGTTCTCCCAGCCCCATGACACTGGCCCCATTTCCAGCCCCACTAAAGCTATAGATCTGGGCGTTGTCGCTCCCCTGACCATAATAGTGTGTGTTGACCTTTTAATAAACGTTTGCTGTGATTTTTCTGTACCACTCAAAAGAAAGAATTTGTAAAAAAACCCCACCAGTTACCATTCAGAAATCTTGGCAACTAGTACATGGCAGAGTACAGTCCTGCCTACTGCAGACAGCACGAAAGTCAGACATCAGGCAGTCACCAACACGACCACAACCAGAAGAAGCTTTTTTCCCCACACGTAGCTGCACAGCAAGTCTAGGTACCTGCACTGCAGGAAGAACAATTCCAGCATCTGCTCTCCAACCTCACGGTTGTTCCAGGACATTAAATCTTTAAAAATATATTGTATTGCAGCAATCCCTGAGAAAGGTACGGAAAACACAGTGGCAGGACAAGTGTTACAGGAGCAACACAGAACCCATCAGCTTCTACCTCAGCTGAAACACACACACATACACACACATTGTTCGGTGCTTTATTATTTCCATTACAAAAGTTATCAGTACCACCTTCTTACCAAGCCACAGATGGCAGGCAACCAACACAAGCCTTGCTAAAACATACATTTAAGGCCCTATCCCCAGATCATGTTAGACAAGTTACTTCCATCACCTGTTCTTCAACACACTTGAAGGCACTTGCTCAAAAAATACACCTAGTTGATGGCACATTAAGATGCTCTGCCTCAGGCACCTGATCTGTCTGGCCAGTTTAGCCACTGCTCAGCCTAAGGCAGGCACCAACGTCCCTTACTGGCAGATTCAGACAAAAGGTTGAAGCCTAAAACGTCCTGAGACTTTGAATGATCACTTGCTTCTCTGAGTACCTCCCAGCTCCTGCTGACCCTGCCTGAAAATAACTCTTTCATCCAAGAAAACCGTCCTTTTCCCTGTGCAGCAAAAATCATCAGGGCTCTAGTATATTCATCCTCACAAGGGCATCAAGGGCAGACACACTGCTCGCTCCTAATCTAAGAGTCAGACCCAGTCTTGCCCCAAACTACCACCAGCTGCAAGCCCAAGTTTTCCCAAGCACAAATTTAGTTCAGGTTTTTGCACAGCTGTGTTCTTCAAACAGAGAAAAACCTCAAGTGGATGTGCATCTTCTAAAAAACAAAGCAAAACCTTTATATCACTGTGTACCACATTCTGCTATGCCAAGGTTGGTGAGCTACTGTATAAATGGTCAGAGAGTGGAAGTGTCGAAGTTGAAACAGAAGTGTTGTTTGGAATTTTTGTGGGACTTTTTTTTTTTTTAATAGATATTGGTACTATTTTTCATACTCCTGCATCTAGCAAAACAGATGATAATGGGACAACTCCTACTAAGCAGTCCTGAGAGATAACAAAACAGGACAATTTTAAATCTTCCCTTATCTTCTCCTTTTTCCTTCCCCTCCAGTAAGGTACTGCTAATTTTAGGTCTGACACCATGCGGTGAGGGAATAGTGGTTGAAACAAACCATAAACAATGTCCTTTAATACTCTTTTCAAAAGGAGAATGTAGGTACATTCCCCAAGCTTGACCTCTTTGGTAGCTGGGGTTTGGTGACCATCAGACATTTTGGACATGACTGGCAAAACAAGTTTAGGAAGGATTTTTAAAACCTCAGCTTTCAGCCAACTTGTTTCTCACAGAAATCATTCTGGAGCATTAACAGCTACTTACGCAAGAGGTTAAATGACATGGGGAGGAAAAAAAGAAAGAACAGAAATAAAAAGACTGTAATACTTCTCCTATTGAGGCTTTCTGGTACCTGGTAAGACCAGTGTTTCTCTGACATGACCAGAAGGAAGATATGATAAAGGAACTCAAGGAACTTTTTAACAGTAAAAGGAGCAAAGACATCACAAAAAGAAATACAGATAA